AAACCATCTTTGAAAATATTGAAGCTTAGACGACCATAGCTCTCTTCTATGCTTATTGTCTGCAACCTTCTTTACCAATCAAAATAAGCTGCTATATTACGCGTTCTACAAGAAGACCTTTAATCTATTGCATGCAGTTTCTACTAACAAATCTTAATCAGTTTTCCATCCCTTTCATTCGCGATGAAGAAGCCAGATATTTCAGGGAGATAGCCCTTTACTTTTGAGCACAGACCATCAATGTCATGGGCTGTTGTAAAGGTTCGAAATATAAAACTTAAACAGAAGCGAGGAGAGGACACCTGGGTTGATGGAAGGCTAGGGCATCTATGGGAGAATGCATAAGGAATAGAGGGTCAGAAAGTTTATATTTCGTTCGCGGGGAACCTACACTACTTTAGAGAGGCGTAGCTGTCCCATGTGACTGCCCTCTTTGAGTGATCCGCAGAAGGAGACACATTCCACTAACCGAAAGTTTGTATTCGGAGAAAAACTAAAGTATTTTGCCATGGTATTGACGTAATGAACCAATTTCTATACCAAGTAAAATAGAGGATATCCAAGCGTTTCACCTCCGCTATCTTCACCAGACTGTTGAATAATTGTGATCCCAAGTTCTACGACTGTAGTGCCATACAGCGACACAGCGCCACAGCATTGTTGGAGTATTGCTTTTTCGCACTAAGTCGCAGTATTCCTAAGAGCTTACATTCTTCCCCGTTGTTCCACAAATGGTTATGGATCACTTAACGGTGCACCGCCGTGGTAGTACAGAGTTATCCGACTCGTTCATTGGCATCTCTCTAAATATTTTTTGATCTCCAAATAAAAAAGGGTATATTTTTCGATAAAGAAAAATCCTAGGCGGCGAAGGCATCAAAATTCCGACCTTGTCTTTGGACCACCCTACATACATATACATAAATCCAATCCGAAATTCAAAGTTGTTTTATTCCGTTGCAAAGTTTTTTATTTATTTCTCATAAATATAATTTTTAAATCTAGTTATCTGTATCAATTAGCTACATACATAAATATAATACTAAAATGTTTTGGTTTAGGAACTTTCTGACACAATATGGCTATACGTGTGATTATTTTTTAACTTGTTTTCTCTTCCTTTTGCGTACAGTAGGTACCGCAGGTTTGAGAAAAAAAGAAGTTGTCAGGCGAACAACAAGTAATGCTTTCAGACCGTTTGTCTCAATTGATAAATGCACTTAAAACAATCCATAAAAATTTGTTTGCAAGGTGATGTTATGTTTTGATCATATGATAAGCGATGCGATTACCCAGCGAGTGATTATCGCAGCGCTGATGCCGACGTCCACACCGACAATGACCCAAATAAGATGCGTACGCCACACAGGCGTTACAAATTCGCAAAGCGGTACCAAAGGTCACCAACGACCAGCGCGCGTTCGGCACACAAAACAACACAGTATAACAATTCACAGCAGCATACATCTACCATAAACCCAAAAATTACGCATTAACCAAACAAAAAAAAAAAAACGGGTGCGTGAGCAGGCGGTTATGGCTTGAGGGTATCACGAAAATCGTGCAACAGCGCAGTGAACAAGCGAAGGCGACAGCAGCAAAATTTACGTATTGAATATGAGAGCGCGATTCGATATATACAGTGTCTTTACTCCCTCTATTCGAGCGCATTGAGGAAAGGTGCAATGGAGCCAATATCCTCGCAGTCGGGTATGGCTTTACCCTTGAATTTGAGGCAGGATTCAGCGCATGTCTGGCCCTGAAAGTAGTCACCGAACATTTTCTTGCACTGCGCGCAGTTGTTGAGGCAAATTTGTATAAAATCAATGCCGGAAATGGTGTCTGTAAAGGAGAAAAAGAGGGAGAGAGAGAGAGAATAATTACACAAAAAATTGCTTACTTAAATATAAA